ACTGGCATTTAATTCAGGGAACTTCTGGAATTTTTCGAACATTTCCCGAGTTAATATTGGTGTAACAACAAAATTGTACAAATCGAGTAACAACAAAATTGTCAAATTGTTAGATTAAGCTTTGAACTGATGTATCTTAGAAATGATTAAAGATATCTTACTGGAATTCTCCGAGGTGTTTATAACACTATTGAACTCTTCTTTGAGCAATAAGAATGTATAACTAGTCTTCAAGCTTAACAAAAAGAAACGTTATGAAATCGATCAGAAACGAAAATGACATGTTCATCATTAATTAATCATAGTTAAGGATGCTCATGAATGATTGATATAAACTCAATATATATATATATATATATATATATATATATATATATGTATATAGTTGGAGTTTATATTAATCCTTCATGAGCATCCTATATATATATATATATATATATATATATATATATATATTATTTCAGGATTATTTTCCAATTTATTCAAGATGATTTTCACCGTCTAACCTAACTTTCTATCCAGCCATAACAATTTACCTTAGAGGATTTCACGTACGATTTCATTTTCAAGTCGTTTTTCACTGCTCTGTGAACTGTCATAGCTGAAACTCCTCTCTCACGTGCTAAATGTCTTATGGATTGAGTTGGATCTTTTCTAATTCACCTCTTTAGCTCTAAGTTGAAATGATGATTCCTCTTCCAGTTGTAACCTCCTGATCCAAGTCTCCTCTCTAATGCTCTCTCTCTTTTTTGTTTCAAACTTATTCATCGTTTTCTTGATAGTTCTTGAATGGACTTTGAAGATGAAAGCCAAAGTAGGGATGTTGGCAACATTACTGAAGGTCTGAATGATCTTCATTCCTCTCAACATTGCTCATTTGGGAAGAGAGTTGGGCTAACAAAACGATTTTTACCTGCTCTCTTTTTAGCTCAATAACTCAAATGATTTTTCAGTGATTCTTACGAAAAATGGTGTCAAGAAGACTAAACGTCTTATCTGAAAACCTGGAAAAAAGAAACCCAGTTATTTTGTTAGCTATTAAACATTTCGTGGGATGGACAATTATGCTGTGACACGATTTGGACAATTTTGCTGTTACGGCCCGGGTATGCTATACATAGTTTGAAAGTAGACAGCACAAAGATTTCAGAAGGGGTCTAACTTTACCCTAACTTCAAGGAGTTGTCACGTCATGATCGTTTGAAGTTAATCAAAATGCGCACATGTTTAATCGTTTATTTTTAATTGATTATTTATGAATAGTTGTTTTTTTTCCCTAACTCTTTTTGCTAAAGAAAATCATTGGAATCTGGTTGAAATTAATGTTATAAATGACAGAATAATTTAACTTGACACTTTTTTCCAAAAATGACTTGTATCAAATAGATTTTGGGATATCTACCACACAAAATTCAGTCAAACACATTATTTGAACTGTGTTATTTTTGTGTGCGATACCAATTTTGAATTATGCTCAAAGAATATTCAAAACTAGCAGCATGGCCCGGCGTTGCCCGTGCTTGATTCAAAAATCGTACGACTCATACAGCAATCGCTATCACTTGACTTAAAATATTTTTGCCCTTCCTTGTCTTTAAAGGAGTGCCCTTTGCCGTGCTGATGTTGCTACACGCCTTACTTCTCACACTGCGAATTTTTTCTAAGCTCTATACTAAACATTAAATCTGTTACGAAAAAAGAACTAAACAAAATGAACACAAAACGATCAGCTTTAAAAAAAAGGACTCGTAACTGGAAAAACCGAATGAAAAAAGAATGTTAACAACAAATACTTTTTCACACCCAACCCAGTTCTGCGGAATCAGAATCAACGTTGAGTTTAAGCAAGCGAATGAGCCAGTTGGAGTAAAGTACCATGCAGATTTAAATTTTTTCCACTTGTGACGAATGCAGCTACAGATTTTTTTTTGCATTCTAGCATGTTAGTTAACATTCGTGTCAGTCAGCTGTTAGCTCTCACGCTGGCCAGGTGAATCTTCCTGCCTATTCGTGGCAGCCAGCTATTGGCTCTCACTCTGGTCAGTACAATATGGCCGCAAACTACATGAAAACTGTCGTAGAAGCATGAAAAATCGATTATTTCCACTATCGATGGGTGTTGGGAAATGCAAAGTCGGTTTTGGCCTTCCCGCTAACTTGGAGCATGTGCATGTAAATTTTGGTGCAAATCCGTCGAAAATTGCGGCCGTATATTCGTTACACACACACACACACACACACACACACACACACACACACACACACACACAAACACACGCACACACTGCCTTTTATAGATAGAGATGAAAACTTTAAGCGTAATTTTTAAAATTTTAAAGCAATTCAAATAAGCTAAATGTAACAAAATTGTTCTCTTTTTTTAAAAACGTATTCCTTTCAAACGGTAAATTGATCATTATCTGATTTAGGAACCATACGGTAGAGTAATGCATAGCGGCACGGATTGAGGAATCGGGGTGCCGAGTTCGAATTCCAGTCGAATCCATTACATTCACTTACGTGCTAATACCCTTGGGAAAGGTATGAATCTTCTTCTTCTCCCCTCCCAGCTATAGGTAAATAGCAGGACAGATTGGGTTCTATAGCCTTGGATGGCAACTGGTCTACCGCAGAAAGAAATGGTAATCTACCCCGGGGAACAAATCTGCCTCGTCAGTCATGTATCGAAAGTTACATGATCGCCTAAGCATGTATCACGCATGGCACATAACTGAGTTGAAATTGTCATAATGCCACGGAAGAAGCAATGTGGCGTTTGCAGAAGGAATTTTTAACAAGTGAACTAAGAACTCGTATCCAGGTAATGAGCACTAAAAAATTCACGACTGTCTTCAAAATCGGTTATTTTGGGAATATATTCTTGTAATTAAAAAAAAAAAATCAGCAAGTGTTGCCGTTTCTCCTTTAGGTTTATCCTTATCCTCTGATTATGATAGGATATAGTGGGAAAAGAAAGTAGAATTGATACCCATATAAAAATTAACAGAAACTCTGAAACTGCGTCCATTTGAGGTACACTTACCATTCCTTACACATAACGATAACAACCCGTTTTTCAATGGTGATCTTTTTTTCCCGATAACGCTAAATATTTCGGTATAACAATTTATTTTTTTATTCTTAGTTCACCTAATATAATATCCAAGAGGCAATCACTGTAGAGGATTGCTGAGCCAGATGGTTGTAAGAGAAGGATTAAGATGATTAAGAAATGCACTTTATGAGGACGTGTCAATGGGCTTAAAGTGATCAAGATTATATTTGCCAGGAAGCACCTTGCCGTGAGTTTGTTTCACAAAATAACACTTCGGGAGAAAAAGTTGTCAAAATCGAATTTACTCGATTACTAAAAGAAGAAAAACGAAATGAGATGATTGCTATTATTGAGTTTACTGGATATTTTATTTGGAAAAAATGGGTAAACTGGCTATACATGTGTTGGAAGTATCAACATATAAGTAAGCTAAACTTAGCGTGACACAAATTCAGAATAGAGCAAGATAAAAGTGAATAGTATACGAGACTAGCTTGATAGCAATCACTCCAGAGAGGGCGTTCTAATGACCATATTTGACGGATATATTAGGCGCGCCTCCATTTCAACAGGCCACATTCAGGAACAATGATTTTAGTCTATTTACTGTTTCAAGCAACCAATCAACACGTTACAAAACATTATCAAAGCACTTTACCTATAGCAGAAAATATTACTGTATATAAAAAGTAAGTTATCACTAGACTTGAATATGAAACACATCTACCCCTTAAACATTCTTCTATTACCGCTATGACGAGCACAATTTCATTTCTCAGATAGAGTATTACCATTACCGCTGTTTTTGTTCACTTATCTTTCTTCTGTAGCTTATGACTGATCAATGATAGGCAATAATAATAATAATAATAATAATGATAAAGTCTCTTGAGTGAATAATATTATTATAGAGATGGCGAAGTAGAAGTAAGCTTCCGAAGTAAAATCATAACTTACAGTAGCGGGCGTTTGGGATATGATTAACCTACACACGGTCTCAATTTTAAATATGTGACGCAGAGCAATATTTTAGTCATTTTACTTGTTGAAAAATAAGTACGTCTTATGTGCTGTCAGATACGATAGTATAAAAGAAAACGCTATCGTCTCCAAACTTGATCTACACAGATCATGCGGATTCAAGTGTATTCCTGCAATAGTTCTAAGAATATGTGTACTTGAACTAGCTTCTCTTCTCTGTAAATGACTTGCAGTTTCTTGCTTTACAGTTTGTTCGAGTTGCTCTTCTGTCGTTCCTATATTTAAAAATTCGAACAGTCTGATCCTTCGAACTATCGACTTATTCTTTCCTTTGAAAAGAGAGTTGCACAGGCAAAAAGTGCGGGAAAAACTGTTAACATAGAACTTTCGGTTAATTATAGCCATTTCAACTATAATATGATGAGACCTAGTTTCCACTCTAGTACTGCGCCCAAATTTATAAAGTCTAGGAACCTTAAAGCAAAGTACATCAGAACAATTACCATGAAAGTATTTATAGAAAAGGAACTGAGAAGTTATATTACAGCAGTGGGGAAAATGACTGAAGTCGAGATGCCAGGTCAGGACGAATAACGTTCTTCTTTGGATTTTAATCAATAATCTTGAAATATATGGCAGGAATATAAGACGGTGGCAGCAATATACGAAGTTCAATTCTATACAAAGCTTTTATTTTTATTCTTTTATCATCAATCCCTTTCTTCTTCTTCTTCTTCTTCTTCTTCTTCTTCTTCTCCCCCTTCTTCATCTTCTTCTTCTCCTCCTTCTCCTCTTCCTCCTCCCCTCCCCCTCCTTCTCCTCTTCCTCCTCCTTCTTCTTTCCTCCTCCTCCTTTTCCTCCTCCTTCTTCTTCTTCTTCTCCTCCTCCTCCCCTCCCTCTTCTCCTTCTCCTCCTTCTTCTTCTTTTCCTCCTCCTCCTCCCCTCCTTCTTCTCCTTCTCCTCCTTCTTCTTCTTTTCCTCCTCCTCCTTTTCCTCCTCCTTCTTCTTTTGCTCCTCCTCCTCCTCCTTCTTCTTCTTCTTCTTCTTCTTCTTCTTCTTCTTCTTCTTCTTCTTCTTCACCACTATCCTATTACACTTTCTGTGTTCACCATCTTTTTTTACTTTAACATTTTTCTTGTTTCTCTATTCTTTTACCTCTCTTTCTAACATTCCAACCTTTTACTGTCTCTCCCCCTTCGACTTTTATTAGTTTCTTATTCTTTTCCTTTACCCTTTTTACTTACTCCTTTTTATCTTGCCTGTCACGTTCTTTCTCTTCCTCGCTCTTCCTTTTCCACCTTTTTTTCTTACAGTTCATTTCTCTTTCTTAATTTTATAAATCTTTGGCAACGATTGAAAGGAAACAAAATTACAGATATATTTGAAAATCAGAGTTTTTTTTTTAATATAAACGAAAGCTAGACATTGTCTCCGAAGAAAATTTAAAAAAAAATCAAGTATGATGTTTTTTTTTTCTATAATCTGAAAATACATTAAATTTTTCTTTATTATTCTCTTTTATAAACTTGTCACATTAGAAAATTAATACTTTAAGAAAATAAAAATAAAGAAATATTAATTTAAATTTTTTTTTTAAATGTTAAATTTAATTTACGTTGCTTCAAACCAGTTTAGCACACCAGAATAATCTTGAAAAGATAGAAATAAATAAAAGTTATTCACATAAATACTGACACTTCTTAAAAAAATGAAACGAGAGACACAGAATGACAAAAAAAGGAAACTGTTACCCGGATATTTTAGCAACAATATGCTGTGGCATTGGTATGCCGCTTATTTATTTACTTTCACGTCGGACGTTCGAATCAGTACGCTTTAACGTGATCAAGCAAATATATATATATATATATATATATATATATATATATATATATATATATATATATATATATATATATATATATATATATATATCATAATCACTGATCTCTTTTAACCTCTCCTGACCTTTTTATAATTCAAGTACAGTCAGTAGAGGTCGAGCGTAAAGATCCGCTTTACAAAACTGTGATTGTTATTCCTGTGTCGCGGGCAAGCAGATCATAAATAAACTAAGTCGTATCTCATGCAGTAAGACATTATCTCACAGTGCCGTAAAAAAAAAGAAGTTCTCAGAAGAAATTATAGTTGTGAAAATAATATAAAGTGAGGTAATTGTCCATGAAAATCTTCGACACACCCTGACGACAGATCATATAAAATATATCCTATAATAGATAGAAGCCAGCCCACTGGAACTATAATAAATAAGTTGGGCGTAAATAAGGCGTTTGTAGATGTATGTACGTATGGGCAATTCTTTTTGCGTATATTAATTCTTATTCTAAATGTCTGAAGCGATATCACTCGGAAATGAATTAAATAAAAGATCAGATGCTCCTCCTTTCTTTCACTTTCTCAGTCATAATTTATGTGTGAAAGATATGCTATATAAACATACAAGGAAATTAAGCGTGAAAAAAAAAGAAAAAAGAAAAGTCAAACAACCATTCCCAAACGTCCCCTTGGAAATATTACTCCGAAAGAGCTGATATTTCGAAAAAATAGACAAAAAACACCCCCCCACCTAAAAAATAAGCACTGCGAGCTCTGTTTGTTTTCACTAATACATTTTAGTAGTCCCTTAGATTAATGTGCATATTTGAGTTTACATTATTTACATTATCCGGACTATTGTCGTCATCTTTGTCGCCATATTTATTACAACGTTTCAGCCGTTGTACTCTCCGGCTTTCTTCAGGTGGTTGGTTGAAATGTCGAACTGAACCCTTTATTTCGCTCACTGGAGTAGCTCAAGGACACTTGTCACAGTGGATAAAGGCGTTAGTTAGATCCAGTGACAGGACCCAAAGAGTGTGAGTTCAATACCTGGTTAAGGTGGTGGAGAACTTGGAGAGGGGAATTAACAGGAGATAACTGATAACTGACATCCATTAGATATGGCACGTGGAGCTAGGACAATCTACCCCAGTGAGCGAAATAAAGGGTTCAGTTCGACATACCAACCACCCGAAGAAGGCCAGAGAGTACAACGGCCGAAAAAGATGAGGACAATAGTCCGAATAATGTAAATAGTGTACATCATACCTTATCTCAGAAATAGGGAGATATTGAGTTTACATATATTTTGTTCAACGCACACACCCATCTATCTATCTATCTATCTATCTATCTATCTATCTATCTATCTATCTATCTATCTATCTATCCAGTATGTTCATATGCATCTATCTATCTATCTATCTATCTATCCAGTATGTTCATATCTATCTATCTATCTATCTATCTATCTATCTATCTAGTATGTTCATATTCTATCTATCTATTTATCTATCTATCTATCTATCTATCTATCTATCTATCAAGTATGTTCATATCTATCTATCTATCTATCTATCTATGTAGTATGTTCATATCTATCTATCTATCTATCTATCAATCTATCTATCTATCTATCTATCTATCTATCTATCTATCTAGCTAGCTAGCTAGCTAGCTAGCTAGCTAGCTTTATTTCAAACAGTGTATATTCCGTCTATCGACACGCGAGTTCGATAAATATTAATAACTAGCTTAAAAGCCGCCCTATTGGGTGGCATTTAAGCTAGCCCCTGTGGAGGACTCTTGAGTGGAACTTCATCACACTATGTAGGGAGGAGTAGATGCGATAGGCAACAATAAACTACAGAAGAACTCAAAATTGATCGCTGCATTTAAGTATTGCATTAATATTTAAACTTACCTTTTAAAAGTTCAACGATAATTCTTTTGATGCCACTTAAGTTAAAGACAATTTGATGTGCGTAGGTCCTTACTTTCCGGACAAACAATTATTTTTATTTCATGGATAATTTTCGCTGCATTTTGATAATTTCGATTAATCCAAAATTTATTTCCAAGCTATAAAAATAGTTATCGGAAAAAAAATTCGTCTCAAAAAATCATGTAAAATGTTTGCCGAAAACAATCGCCGAAATGAAAACTTGGGAGTCCAAAATATCAGGATTTCGGGCCCGGATTCGGACCTGAATGTTTTAATTTGCTCACGGATTCTGCCTTACTCCGAAATGGTGTGGTATGTTAGGCCACGGTCTCTAGAAGTAAAGTTGTACATACGGATAATTTAATTTTGAACCATTGTAAATTAAGAACAGTAATTTTATCATTTGAACATGAGCTATTGAAAGATAGAGATTTGTGTCCCTTTAATTGTTTTTTTATCAGTAGAAGCTAAGATTGCGAAATCAGAAAACAAGCGCAGTAAGGAAAACTTTGGAATTCAACATTACAGAATTGTGGGTCAAGATCAAACCCGGAATGTTTTTCATTTGCTCACGGAGACGGTCTGATTCCAAAATGGGAATATGTTGGGCTTCAGCCTTGGGGGGTAAAATAAAAGAAAGTGTGACAAAGTGACATTGGCATTTATATAGAAGAAAATGTGCTCTCCGTATTAAACCTGCGTCACCCTTTGTAGGAGAAAACACTGTTTGATCTGGTGTGTTTTACCGCTCGGCTACGGAGAGCACCACAGTCTAGAAAGGTTCTATTTTCCCATATAAGGAAATCCCACTTCCTCACTGAGATATTTTGTCTCGCAAGCCCATATCTGTTCAGTTTTGTATTGGAAACGTAAAGAAAGCAATTTCTAAAGAATTACTGGATATATTTTTAATGTAACGTTTTTATTACTTTAAACGTTATAGTTGATAGTCTTATTTGAAGGAGACGCCACATTTTTATTTTTACTTTTTACAGTATGTATTACGTCTATCGGCCTGCCTTTTCAATAAATCTTAAATCGAAAGTTTGAACTATATTTTCTGTACTTTTCCAAAAGTTGTTCATTAAAAGTAATCGACACTAATTTTTCGCTTGGATCTGTTGTAGATATATATTTTTTTTTTAAGCATTGTGCCCCAAGCAAGGCGTGAAGCCACTAGGATGCAGGGGGTTGCGGAAGATTTGGAGCGAGAGCAGATAGGAGTGATAGAAGAAAGGATGAGGAGAAGGATAGTGGGCAGATCAAGGTAATTGGAGATGTCGAGTGACATTACATTTGAATTTAAAGATTATAGCTTTCAGGGAAACAGTAATTGGGGAGGGTGTTCCACCGGCGAGAGGTGCAAGGTATGAAGCTATTGGAGTAGAAGAGACGGCTACATTTGAAGGTTTCTACGGTGTAAGGGTGAGAACGGGATGCCAGCCTCGTAGGGCGCTTGAATTCATGGAGTCTGGGAACCAGAGAGAGAGCAGCTCATCAGAGCAGTTACCATGGAAGTATTTGTAGAAAAAGAAAGAAAGAAAAGAGAGAAAAAAAGCAGAAATAATGAGAGAGAGAGAGAGAGAGAGAGAGAGAGAGGGAGAGAAGAAAGAAAGACAGAAAAAATGATGAAAAGACAAAAAAATGGAGAGAAAAGAAAGAAAGAAAGAAAGAAAGAAAAGAGAGAAAAAAAGCAGAAATAATGAGAGAGAGAGAGGGAGAGAAGAAAGAAAAACAGAAAAAATGATGAAAAGACAAAAAAATGGAGAGAAAAGAAAGAAAGAAAGAAAGAAAAAGAAAGAAAAGAGAGAAAAAAAGCAGAAATAATGAGAGAGAGAGGGAGAGAAGAAAGAAAAACAGAAAAAATGATGAAAAGACAAAAAAATGGAGAGAAAAGAAAGAAAGAAAGAAAGAAAGAAAGAAAGAAAGAAAGAAAGAAAAGAGAAAAAAGCAGAAATAATGAGAGAGAGAGGGGGAGAGAAGAAAGAAAAACAGAAAAATGATGAAAAGACAAAAAATGGAGAGAAAAGAAAGAAAGAAAGAAAGAAAGAAAAGTGAGAAAAAAAGCAGAAATAATGAGAGAGAGATAGGGAGAGAAGAAAGAAAAACTGAAAAAATGATGAAAAGACAAAAAATGGAGAGAAAAGAAAGAAAGAAAGAAAGAAAGGAAGAAAGAAAAGAGAGAAAAAAAGCAGAAATAATGAGAGAGAGAGGGAGAGAAGAAAGAAAAACAGAAAAAATGATGAAAAGACAAAAAATGGAGAAAAAAAAAAGAAAGAAAGAAAGAAAGAAAGAAAAGAAAAGAGAAAAAAGCAGAAATAAGAAAGAAAGAGAGAGAGAGAGAGAGAGGGAGAGAAGAAAGAAAAAACAAAAAAATGATGAAAAGACAAAAAATGGAGAGAAAAGAAAGAAAGAAAGAAAGAAAGAAAGAAAAGTGAGAAAAAAAGCAGAAATAATGAGAGAGAGATAGGGAGAGAAGAAAGAAAAACAGAAAAAATGATGAAAAGACAAAAAATGGAGAGAAAAGAAAGAAAGAAAGAAAGAAAGAAAGAAAAGGGAAAAAAGCAGAAATAATGAGAGAGAGAGATAGAGAGAAGAAGAAAAACAGAAAAAATGATGAAAAGACAAAAAATGGAGAGAAAAAGAAAGAAAGAAAGAAAGAAAGAAAGAAAAGTGAGAAAAAAAGCAGAAGTAATGAGAGAGAGATAGGGAGAGAAGAAAGAAAAACAGAAAAATGATGAAAAGACAAAAATGGAGAGAAAAAAAGAAAAAAGAAAGAAAAGAAAGAAAAGAGAGAAAAAAAGCAGAAATAATGAGAGAGAGAGAGAGGGGGAGAGAAAGAAAAAGAAAAACAGAAAAATGATGAAAAGAAAAAATGGAGAGAAAAGGAAGAAAGAAAGAAAAAGAAAAAAGAGAAAGGGAGAGAAAAAAAGCAGAAATAATGATGAGAGAAAAAGAGAGAGAGGGGAGAGAAGAAAAAAAAAACAGAAAAATGATGAAAAGAAAAAATGGAGAGAGAAAGAAAAAGAAAGAGAGAAAAAAGAAAGAAAGAAAAAAGAAAAAGAGAAAAAGCAGAAATAATGAGAGAGAGAGAGAGGGGAGAAGAAAAGAAAACAGAAAAATGATGAAAAGACAAAAATGGAGAGAAAAAAGAAAGAAAGAAAGAAAGAAAAAAAGAGAAAAAGTGAGAAAAAAGCAGAAATAATGAGAGAGAGAGAGAGGGAGAGAAGAAAGAAAACAGAAAAAATGATGAAAAGACAAAAATGGAGAGAAAAAAAGAAAGAAAGAAAGAAAGAAAGAGAAAAAGCAGAAATAATGAGAGAGAGAGAGAGAGAGGGAGAAGAAAGAAAAACAGAAAAAATGATGAAAAGACAAAAAAATGGAGAAAAGAAAGAAAGAAAGAAAGAAAGAAAGAAAGAAAGAGAGAAAAAAAGTGAAAAAAGCAGAAATAGAGAGAGAGAGAGAGAGAGAAGAAAGAAAACAGAAAAAATGATGAAAAGACAAAAATGGAGAAAAAGAAAAGAAAGAAAGAAAGAAAGAAAGAAAAGAGAGAAAAAAGAAAAAATAAGAGAGAGAGAGAGAGGGGAGAAGAAAGAAAAAAAACAGAAAAATGATGAAAAGACAAAAAATGGAGAGAAAAGAAAAGAAAGAAAGAAAAGAAAGAAAGAAAGAAAAAAAAGAAAAAAGAGAAAGAAGAGAGAGAGAGAGAGGGGAGAGAAGAAAGAAAAAAGAAAAAATGATGAAAAGACAAAAAGAGGAGAGAAAAGAAAGAAAGAAAGAAAAAAGAGAAAAAAAAGCAGAAATAATGAGAGAGAGAAAGGAGGAGAGAAGAAAGAAAAACAGAAAAAAATGATGAAAAAGACAAAAAAAGAGAGAAAAGAAAGAAAGAAATAAAGAAAGAAAAAAGCAGAAAAAAGCAGAAAAAGAGAGAGAGAGAGGGATGAAGAAAGAAAAAGAAAAATGATGAAAAGAAAAAAATGGAGAGAAAAGAAAGAAAGAAAGAAAAAAAGAGAAAAAAAGAAAGAAATAATGAGAGAGAGAGAGAGAGGGGAGAGAAGAAAGAAAAATAGAAAAATGATGAAAAGAAAAAAATGGAGAGAAAAGAAAGAAAGAAAGAAAGAAAAGAGAAAAAAAAAAACAGAAAATGATGAGAGAGAGAGAGAGAAAGAGGGGAGAGAAGAAAGAAAAACAGAAAAATGATGAAAAGACAAAAATGGAGAGAAAAGAAAGAAAGAAAGAAAGAAAAGAAAAGAGAAAAAGCAGAAATAATGAGAGAGAGAGAGGGAGAGAAGAAAGAAAACAGAAAAAAAATGATGAAAAGACAAAAAAATGGAGAGAAAAGAAAAAGAAGAAAAGAAAGAAAAAAGAAAAAAAAGAAAAAATGAGAAAGAGAGAGAGAGAGGGAGAGAAGAAAGAAAACAGAAAAATGATGAAAAGACAAAAAATGGAGAGAAAAGAGAAAGAAAGAAAGAAAGAAAGAAAAAAGAGAAAAAAGCAGAAATAATGAGAGAGAGAGGGAGAGAAGAAAGAAAAACAGAAAAAATGATGAAAAGACAAAAAATGGAGAGAAAAGAAAGAAAGAAAGAAAAAAAAAAGAAAGAAAAGAGAGAAAAAAAGCAGAAATAATGAGAGAGAGAGAGGAGAGAAGAAAGAAAAACAGAAAAAAATGATGAAAAGACAAAAATGGAGAGAAAAAAAGAAAAGAAAGAAAGAAAGAAAGA